AGGCTTAGGACGGGTCATGCTGGAGTGAAAGCACACTTAGCTAGGTTTAGAATGATTGATAACCCCATGTGTAACTGTGCCCAGCATGAAGAAACAATAGATCACTTGCTACTTCACTGCCATCTGCATGCTCAGGCCCGAACTAACCTTTCTAACACACTAACCTTGCTCAACATAGATCAATCTGTAAAAAATTTGCTTGGGGGAGGCCCTTTCCCACCTGAGATACAGGTGAAAATAATCAAAGCTACCATTGAATACCTGAAGGAAATTAATGCCCTGAAGCAAATGTAGTTTTAAGGAATAGAATTTAGTATGTCCAACCTATCTTAATGTTGCTCATTTGTTTTATTCAACTTTCGCCTGTCACATCTAACAATTGCAAGTATACTAATTGCAAATAACACTCTGTGGAACTAACTTCATCTTCAATCTTTAACAAACGCACCACTAGGTGCATCCATGAGCTCAAGTAGAGGTGCTCTGTGCAGATCTATTGAATACTGTAATGACTGCCTATGTGAAGGGTGCCTCTATTTGCCTCCACCAGATAAACAGTTTTTCCCTTGCCTCCTTCTGAGCCCTGCCCATAAGAGAGACATCTTGTTAGCGTATTTGCATCAAATACTGTTTGCACTAGTCACATTTGGCTGAAAGAGGCTCCAGGTTGCGCCACCCAGGCTGGACCCTCACCTAGAGTCTGGTTTCTCATATGTGGCACAAGGTAGGGCATCCTCTAGTTACTAACTTGGGTAATTTGGCCTAGCTACGGTAATTTAATGGCATCTTCTGTTTAGTATGAACTAGTCACTAGCATCTCCTGATAATATTGAATGATGTTTCATTTTGAAACATGTTGTCCCTTGATCTACCCGCTGCAAAATATTTTCCTGAACATGATATTGACATATAACTCCCTAATTTCATGAGCTGTAGCTGACCAATTGACACAATGTTTATGATGCTTTAAGCTAATGACATTCTTCATGTGCACACAGTTGCTGGGACTGCTGCAGTCTCTGAATTGTGGAGCAGTCGTGTGACTGGTGGGACTGCTGTAACAACTGAATCCCCCTGCAGACGTGGAGCTACATGGACGGGTCTCCAAAGCTCCAGTAATCATCAAACAAGAAGAAGAAGACTGAACATATGCTCCTGCATAGCTTCGTCTAGTCTGTTCTTGAAGGCGTTCATACTAAAAGCGTCAACGATGCTATCAGGGAGGCTGTTCCACATGTCGGTGACTCGAAGCGAGAAGAAATGTTGCCGCATGGGTGTGTTACAAGTTACAACGCAGCAGTTTTTTTTAGTTTTTAGCCGTGGTCCCTGGTGTTGATTCTTGTTTCAAATTCTATTAATCCTTCTGGGACATTGTATAAGCCATAAGTATACTTGTATGTTTCAATGAGTTCCCCACGCAGACATCGATAACAGAGGCTTGTAAGCTTCATTATCTAATCTTTCCTCATAGGACTTGCCTTCCAAGCCCAGAATTATCCTTGTTACACATCTTTGAACACTCTATTAAATTTGTGTCCTTTTCAAGTTTTGGTGACCACACGACGTTTCCAAACTCTAGGTTCGGGCGCACGACAGCAACAAATAACTGCTTCATCGCCTCTGCATCTAGGAACTCGAAGGAGCACCTGATCAGTCCAAGTCGTTTATTGGCTTTATTAACTTGACCTTCAATATGCTTAGAAAATTTCAACTCATTGTTGATATTAACTCCTAAATCTTTTTCCATACTGTCATCTTGCTGTTCATTATTCTTGCCGAGGTGGATTACTTTACATTTGTCAGCGTTAAAATGCAGCTGCCACTTATCAGCCCAAAAATTAATTAAATTAAAAGCACTACACTCACAAAACTATGTTGCAGACTTGCAAGAAATAACGAGAAAGACCTTAATTTATTCCGTCAACTTCATCAACTCGACATAGTTCCCTTTCGACGTGGGCCTTAGGTACACAGAAGCCCTATGTTCTCAGCAATGTCCTGTATTACAGAGCTCGTGGTATCATACACGACTGTGTCAATTTTGTTGGGTCTTCTTTCCACCTGTGAGGTTAGTTTAGGACATGCGTAGAAGGCTTATGTAGGATTGGTTAGTAGTACACGCAAAAACGGTCTCTTGTAAGAGTGTTTAATAAGTCTCGCTCAATCGGCCTCTTTCATGCGTGGTTAATGGGTCTCCCTTTGATGGACTCTTTCAAAAGTGGTTAAGAAGTCTCGCTCAAATTACCTCTTTCATGAGTAGTTAATGGGTCTCGCGCAAATGACCTCTTTCAAGAGCAGTTAGTGAGTCTGTCGCGAACGGTCTCTCTCAAGAATGGTTTGTATAGGTCTCGCATAAACAACCTCTTGCAGGATTGGTTAGCACGCGTTAATGGCCTCTTGCAATCTTTGCATCTTTAGCTGTTTATCGATCATCGATGTGTTCTTTGTGTTTTGAAAGGGGCTCAGAGACCAGCTTCTACCGTGGACCGCTTGGCCTTGAGCAAGATAGCAGCATTTTACTGTGAGTATTGTTCAAGATATAAGGGTAAGGTGGCCCAGTGGTTACAGTACAGTTCATAATACCGTGACTGGAGCAGTAAGGTGCAGGTTCGATCCCAGCTACCATGCTACAGTTCAGATTAGCGAGGAGGCCGGGCGGTTAAGCATGGCAAAATTAGAGCACTGAGGTGCGTGTTCGAAACCGCAACAAGCTGTGAAAATTCTGCAATGCTAAGAATCGGTGATAGGTAGTTCGTCCTAATGAACGCTGGATTCGCTATATATTACTACATCAACCATCACGGACGCCTATATAGCTCCAGCCATTGATACTGAAATAGATCATGATAAAATATTGTTATATTTTCTCCATGTATTTATACACATTTGATTTTACTCCGGCCATGACAGAAGAAGGAATATTGATGAAAGAATAAGACTATATGCATAACAAGACTTTGTGTCCGTCAATGACTGGCCTGCATGCACGACGCGCACCTTCAGTTCTCATGTATATCCTTGTAAGTTACAAGCTGTGATAGATATTGCTTGCCAAAGCAAGACAACATTCTGCGAGGACTTGTTGAGGTGACGAAGTCCACCACCATGTCATGGGGACGTTCACTAACGTTATAACGTTCATGAGCATCTGGCAGTAATTGTAAAGAATCAATCCAATTTAAATGTGTTGTTGAAAAAATTGCTTGGCCGCGATCTAAGCATTTGGCTTTCCGATGTTTAACCGGCTCACTGACTCAGGGTGTCGGGAACTAAACTTCAACCCCATACACAGCGTCGGTAGTGAGGCCTCTCTCTCTCTCCAAAAATGTTGCTTGGACCTACGATCAATGCAGCAGACAAAGTGGCAAACAATGAAATTTGGGCCACGGTAATAGGAAAACCTCTATTTTTTACATGTTTTATGTAATAAGTAATTACATTGCAACAGCTCATGCTCTGCTGACAACGTGGTTGGTTTGCCAAAATTGCTGGTACCTACCTACATTCTTCTTTGACTCTTATCAAGAGGTGATCTGAGAGTGTATTGCGTGGCATATTAAACGTACGGGCAGCGGCTAACGCAGGAAGATTCTAATCTCAGTAGGCTGCAAGAGCCCTATCTATGTCCTTCAGCCTCCACAATCTTAGTTTTGTTCCTCAGTTCCTTTTCTTGAAGGCTGAAGCCTCCTTGAATGGTATAAAATAATTGTATTAACTAACTACCTAGCCTAACATACTTGAACAAATGCATGTACTGTTTTGATCACACAAAATAACATGTGTAAATATTTATCATCCGACATGGGTTTTATCCTTTAAAGTTTATTTAAGTGCTTCAAATTGTTTTTATTTGTTTTAATCTTCATTTTACGAGATTTAACGAAGTAGTTTACCTTATTTAGGCTTATTAAGATTATGTGTAAGAAAGTCAACTTGTGTCATGCTTATTCAAACTGTCAAACAAGCTCAGACACTTCAATGCAGCACTATAGTGACTAGGTACTGTGCTGGAATAAATCCCAGCATTAGCTTAACTATTAGTTTTAGTTTTAATATTTTTTAGTATCCGCGTACACGGACAGGCTCGTTCCGGGTTATTTAGAAATTTTGGCGGTTAGAGAAGCGTCGATCCCTGTTCCTGGGATAAACAACGGTGTGACGCCTGTCTCTTATACACATCTAGATGTGTATAAGAGACAGGTATAGGCTTGCCAGGTTACAGGTTCAAGGCAGAACCTTGCCGTTGCCGGTGTCCAGGGTGAGTTGCTGACTCGCAGGGAGTTCAGGCTTGCCAGGTTACAGGTTCAAGACGGAACCTTGTCGGTGTCCAGGGTAAGTAGNGTATAAGAGACAGACTCCAACAGGCTTTAAATAATAGCTCTTTTTTGTGGGTCACATTTTTAATTTTTTAACCTATTAGATATGCAAACTTTTTAAATCTTTCTATTGTGTTACGTAGCCTCAGTATTAGGCCTTTGATGGCCATTGACAAAATTTTTCTACGTTGAATCGTTTTTAAGTTTTGGGGATTTTTGTTAAAAAAACGAAAAGTGGTCAAAGTTACCCCGCCGGTCAAAGTAACCCCATTTTACGGTATACACTTTGTCCGTGTCAGAGTAAGACCAGTAAACTGTAAAGTATCATGGACACCTGCATTATCATACATAAGATGGTAAGAAATTGGTTTAAATATTGATTAAATGAGGAAATTAAAAATTAACTGATTTTAAAAAATCTCTGGTTTGCCACTATGTCGTGTCCTATAAATCAACAGCCATTTGCTGCGCAGGCACAATCTTTGTTTAATGATCATGGACTCTCACTTCCACAGAGAGTGGGCACCCCTGCCTTCTCTCCCATCCCACCACACATCTCTCTGTGTGGGAACATTTGTCTGAACCCAGGAGCAGGGCTCTCTGTGTCTCTTCATCCTGGCTCTTCCTCTGCTCTACTATCTTATAGTCTAGAATTTACTTACCCTGACCATGTTCAGATCTACAGAGATGGTTCACAACTTCACACTCAGCGGAGGGCTCTGTTTCAGCTGGTGTATATGTTCCCTCGGACCCTCACTGTCACTGGCAACAGGGTGGCTACTCTCACGGTCTCACCAACCCATACAATAATGGGTGCAAAGTTGTTTGCCATCTACAATGTTGGGGGTCAACCCCTCTAAAGGTCAATGGTCCGGCCAGTATAGTACCAGCACGTGAAGCCAAGCAAAACAAACTCAGGGAAACAAATGGAGGAAGAACCAAGCAAACATGTATTAAATATAATCAGTGGTACATGAAGGTGAAAGGTGCAAAATTAGTTTGTTAGTAATGAGACAGCCCAGGGCTATGAGTGATGGGGTGAACCTAGCATGAGAACATAAATAGCCAGCAGCCCAAACTGGTTTGAACAGTAAAGAATAAATAATGATACATGGTAAATAAACTAAACTGGGCCAGAATAATGATCCGTAGCATAAAT